AAAGGGATGAACTTTTCTTGAAGTTTTACATATTTATCATGAATAATTATATAAATCTTTAATTGAAATGTACTTTCTCCATAGACATTCAACTGTCGTGGAGCTTCACCAATATCATTAACACATACAGAAATTAAATACCTCCTCAAATTAGCAGCCGTCTGCCTACATGACAGAGTCATCAGCACCTCACTACCATAATCTATAAAAACACATGCAAGTGCTTTCTGCCCCTGGTGCAATGACTGGGTGACCCTGTCTTATCAGAAACTCTAGCTCCGTCTCCATATGTACACATGCAGCAAACCCCGGCAAAGCTACAAAAATAACTCTGCCATGCTGCGCTCAGGGCACAAAGCTGCCCTTGTTTAAGAAACACGATAAAACAACCTGCTCGCTGACTGTCGGCAGGAATTTGTTGAACGTCACGGTGCTGTGTCAAATATGTGACAGAAATATCAAGTGGATTTTAAACAGGACGTTGACCTACACAACACCTGATCCCTGCTGAGTCAGCACAAAACAGAAAAAGAAAAAGCTGAACGTTTGTAGTCGTTACAATCTGACTTCAATCTGACACAACCGGTGTATGTACTGTGTGTTGTTTCACTGAGAGCTGCCAGCAGCCGGAGCTCGGACCTGTTGAGGAGACAAATCTGCAGACACAGCAGAGCAGCCCGCAGCCTTGGCTCATGACAAACAGAAACTGTCGACTGTCCCACCTGTAGCTGTTTATGAATCGTCTGGGAGTCAAATGCCACTGCCTCCACCAACTGCCCCAGCTCTGGCCTCGGCGGCTCCTCTGCTCTCCTGCTCTCTCTGGCCCTGTTCCCTGCAGCTCCACGCCCACCCATCATAGTCAGTACAGTAGCTTTAGCCTTCCTGCCCGCCTGCAGCCGCAGCCAGGCTTCAATGACAGCAACTTAGGAGCTTCAGCACACACCGTCTGGGAAAGTCCAGTGATCGTGTTTCCACCTCAGCCATCTGCCCCTCAGCTAGCAGGGGCTTCAGAAACTCTGCTAAAACTGACCCACTGACATTTTTAGTTCTGCTACAGCAATTATCACGCCGTTTGTCAGGAACATTTCTGGGAACTGAAATTCCACTGCTTCTGTTCTGTGTCTATGCAGACAGTTACCACACATTGTTTCCTCTGAGATACATTAGGGTCAAAAATCAGCAAACCTCCGAGCAAACTGTCCTTGAAACATCTAATGAGGCTTTACATGATCAGAGACCCTTCGTTAGGTTTGCATGTACTGATGCAGTTACAGATGCAGTTAGCATCTGCTAAATGCATAAAAGTAAATGTAGTTCAATATGTTTTTACTTACTTACTTTACTTTTTTTAAATTAACAACTAAAAGGTTGTTACACTGTTGCTAATTTTAAATTAACAACTAAAAGGTTGTTAAGGTGGGAAAAAAACCTTCAAGACTAAGATGTCATGCAACCACATCTCACAGCAAAACAACAACAACAACAAAAAACTCACCAATTCAAGATCATATGAGCATGGAATCAGACTCCCATACAACCACTGGAGGGTGCCAACTACCACCAGTGGTACACGTAGCACAGTTTAGAAATCATTACCTGACAAATTTATTATATAATAAATATGTTCAACTGAATAGTTAACAGTTAGTTTTAAATAAAATATTTATACAATGTACACAAATCAATGTAGTTCCTCTGTAGCACATCCATCCCAGACTCACTTTAACTTTGACGGATAAAGTTTAAAATGAATCAATTGAAATACTTTAGACCTTTTCCTAACGTGATGCACAGTAAGACAGATATATTTTCAGTAAAGCTATAATGGGTTCGACAGCAGGGAGATGTTGAGCTCAAAAATATCGGCACAGTTCTCTCCACCTACACTTTAGGTAGGCATAGACTGTGGAGGTTGTCAGCAGTACATTTGGGGAACATTAAATGGAAAATAAAAGGAGAAGGAAAGACAAGAAAAAAAGCTAATTTTCTATAAAAAAAAAAAGTACTGCAGAATAATATTGGCCAAAGGGTGTAGAACCTATACATGCAAATCTAAATACTACTACGCTTATACGTTATGTTAATTTGAATTTATATTCAAAATGTATTCAAACATATCTATATAGGTTTATATGTAAATTTTAAATATATTAAGATATAAAATAATCAAATAACTTGGGATTTTTCCAATTATTGGAAACCTCTTATTATTTTTATCTTTATTAACATGAAATGAAATAATAGGAAGTTAGTCATATTGATAGATTCTACAGATAAAGAGGTTTTTATTTTTATTTTTTGGAAAACATATGCCACAGAGCTATTTGGTATGACATTGAAAATAAATGAGACAAAAGGAGGAGAAGATAACTTTAGTTCCACTCAGGGGAGGAATATTAATTATGAGTATTTCACTTTAGACCATAATAAATATCACATTATTAACTCCTTGATCCACACAAGTCCACCTAACACCTGCATTTAATGAAAGGAGCTCAGATCTGTCAAATATAAGAGAGGAGAGTAATTTTGATGTTGACTGATGTTAACATCCCAAGGTCAATCTGAAGATTTTAATCCCATAAGATGTATATCAGAAAGAGAAAGCATCCTTTTCAACTCAGCTGAGGGGAAATGAGAGAATATTCTCCTAGTTCTCCATCTTTGACGTTGCATCTCAGCGTCCTACACAGGTCATTTTGTTTCTCGTTTACAAGAACGCAGACATCTAATATGAGCTGAGGAAACATGAGCAAGTAGGAACAAGGAGACAGCATTAGCAGGTCTGTTGCCAACATGCATGCTATACATGCAGTATACAGGCTGACACACACAAACACACACACTCTGTAAATTACCTCTCCAGCTCCGCAGGAGTCGGAGGATTGTGGAGTCAAAGTCAAGATGCAACATGAGACTACCATTAATAGCAACAACACTGCCCCTGCTGGCGCTAATTAATGCAACACATTAAGACATAAATAACCTTGCATCACACAACCGCTCACCCCACACCACCCACACGTGTACTGTACGTACACTCGCACGCACGCACATTCACACGCGTGCATACAATTAATGTCAACATCAAACCAATCAAAGAAATGAAACACGAAGCCATGACGTGAAAGGGGGGATATTTTTGAACAGCTCTCCTGCTCGTGCATTTGTATAAACAGACCACATTTAATGTGTGCACTGTTTAATGCCGAGGTTTTATATACAGTTAGTCCTTGAAGGCAGCAGAAAGTTACTGGATTAGATCAGAGTTTTTAAGATATACTGACAACAAAGCTGCAGGACCTGTAAATAAATACATACTGTTCAGTATACATGTCCAAACACAGACAAGAGCAGGACCAATAAAAATGTATCTATCAAGTTGACCTTTAACAAGTACTCATGACAAGGAATCATCTACTGAATGTCTTCCTGAAGGGCGCATTAAAACAAACACACACACAAACACACACACTGGAGAATAAGCTAGTGGAATCTGCCAAGCAAAAGAAGCCTTGTGTCAGTCAAGTGTCAGGGAAACCAGATAGAAAATATCAGGAAGACGCTACGATCCAACCCACTCTGACAGGTAGCATCTCCGACACACACGAGTACAAACACACACACGGGTCGTACTTCTTTTAGATTATTAGCATGTTTAAAGTTTAAACCGGACACCAAAAAAAAAAAAAAAAAAAAAACTTTTGGTGCAGTGGTTTGTCAGTTGTTCTGGAACTTTTAATTAATTAAATAATTTATTTTATTGTATCTTGAAAAGAGGATTTGTAGTCAATGGTACTTCATTCTTTGATTCTGAAAATGTACTGTGTTGAAATTTGACAAAAATATCTTATTCTTTCTGAAATCTTAAATTTTATCAACACATAAAAAGCCGTAAAACTTTATTAAGTTTGTAGATGTAAGTGTTGGCGAGCTCTGTGTATAATTTCTTACGTGCGCTTATAAATTTAATAACAGAAACTCAAGGGCAAGCGTCAGGATGAATAAGCAAAAACTAAACTTGTAAAATTTACAGCATTTAACGCTTGCATCCAATCTCTTAATAAGAAGACATGTACAAAATGTTGATATTAATAAGAAGAGATTGAGTGTTTATATATATATATATATATATAGTAAATAATTCTAAAAGATGAATTAGATATCATCTTTTAGAATTATTTACTATAGCTTACTATAACTATCTTACAACCCCCTTGCAGTACCTTTACAGACCCCTGTTAGGACATTTGTCATTTAAAATAGCACCCGAAACATCCTTCATAAAACTGGGATAGTAAATTATATTATTTTCCCAATAGACTTTGCAGTGAATAGAATTTACTAAAGGTAAACTAGGTTCAGTAGACTTTTTCAATCTCACAATTAAATTGAAATCATTCCATTCAATAACAATTTTGACAAAGGAGAGAAGGGGAAAGAAAGAGAGAGAGGAGAGGAAGGGTCTGGTTGAAGTAAATAGACATGGCTCCAACACTTCCAACAGGGTAGAAGCCGGTTATGACCTATTTTTGGTGTGGCCTGCAGCAGAGGCGAATCAGCTGTCATGGCAACATGCACTTCAGACCTCAGCACCCATCATCATCACCATCATCATTACAATAATTGTGGATTATTATCATCATTATCATTATCAATGTTGCTCCGTGGCGAAGGGGGGAGACGAGGGGAACATGCTGCTACGGCTAATCACGTCTTTTTTCAAGAGGCTCATGCGAATGAAACAAAAAGGAGATCGGGCGAGAGATGAGCACTAAGAAAAGACTCGGTGAAGCAATGGGGTAGTGGCAATGTGTCGCGGGTGTTTCTCCCTGCTCCTGCTGACACATCACTTCCACCTGAGTGTTTGACGGCAGGCACTGGAGGAAAGATGCCAAGTTAGAAGTGAGGGGAGGGACAGGGGGAGGAGCGGTGTGACCAATGGATGGTGAAAAATGGAGGGAGGGGTTTAAAAAACAGAACAGAAGAGAATGTCATACTTTGGGCAACGGCGTTTCAGACGACCGCACAATCTTGGGAGATATCTGTGAAGAGAGTAAGAGAATTATTTTCCTGTTTCCCCCTCTTCAGAGATATCTCCTGTGGCATATTGCTGTTCTCTGTTACAAGGCTGTCGAGGACGTCTCTCTACATACAGTATATGTAATAATTGAAGGTCACTGTCGGTGATGTACTAAAAGACATCCAATTGTTGTGGTATTATAATTAAGCTCGAGTATCGATGCAACAAATGCATTGGATATTTTATTCTATATTTGATATGTAGTATGCTGGTGTTGTAACCAATACCTGATACCTGAAAAGCAGTTTTCAATAGAGAGGTTTGAATATGGGTCACACAAGCAAAATGGGACCACAGACAATGGAAAAAAATAAAATGTCACGATTTTTAACGGTGACACTGTCAAAGACCAGTGAGGCCTGAAGGAGGTCAAATATAAAGGAGTCACAACAAGGCCAAATGTGAGTCCCAGTTATGAATCGTTCACTATATCTTTGTCTGCGGTTTTGTCTTTTTTTTTTTTTTTTTTAAGTGAATCGATGAACAACAACACATCAGAGGAGACACTCGGAAGGTTGGGAGACAGGAGGACACACAACAGCACAGTCAAGGAAGGCAAGGAGAGAAAAGAAAAATTGAAACACACATTGAAAACTTGTGCTAAAGTGTTTTTGTCATAGCAATATTTATGAAAAAGTTAAAGCAGCCTGAGGCAGTTTCTGACCAGCAGGGGGCAGAAGTTATTTTTATTACTTCTTTTTTTTTTTTTTTCAGAAATAGTGGCTAACCTCACTATCCTCTGTTTGGGTCCTAACTGTATATATTTATTTTATAGTTTTAAGGATAATAAGAAGAATTTAAGGGTTACAATTAAATATTTTAAATATTATGCCGAAAAGGTTACAGCTACCAGTGTGATAAACTTCACATTTAACATTGTCTTTGTATATGTAATACCAAACAACACTGGATTAAAATGTAGTATGTTCTAGGAACCACAATTATATTGTGATAACTACAAATTGTTCTTTTATAATGCTCAATATATTATCATTAAAAGGACTATATTTCTTTGGTATTGTAGTTCAAATTTAAATGTAAAATTGAAACCTTGTTTAATGGTCTGGTGACAGTGAGGAAAGACAGGATGTGACAGACAGTAGCAGTAAAGTCAAAACAGCAACAGAGATTTATTTTAAGACAAACGATGAAAGAATAAAGCATTTTCAAAAAATAGAAATTTGTGACATGAAGCTGGAAATGAAGTGAAAACTGCTACTGAGTGAAAACTACTTTGCCCTGTGCCGAGGCCTCTAACCTCCGCCCATTCACACTCTACCTTCATTGGTGCCAGCTGGATGGGGGTGATGTAGGAGGGGTCCACCATGGGCTTGGGGCGGTTGGCAGTGTCGGCCAGAAGGCTCTGCCATTGCTGCGGCAGCCCTGTGAACTTCTGCTCTCGTGGGTCGAAGCCCGTGTGGACCCGGTGTTCAAAGTTGGACGGAGCTGAGATCTCCAGCCGTTTCTTCTTCTTCCCAAACATGCTGGAAAACCCTGGCAATCCTGACCGAAGAGAGAGAAAAGATGGGGATCAACAATGGAAATCACAACAGATATGAAACAAATCCCATCTTTATCAGTCACAGAGTTGAAAAGACTGGAGGCAGGGGTCACAGGTCAGCAATCAATCAAAGGCCAAACTCTATATATATATTCACAGCTCCACTCCTTTACAATCAGAAAACAATTCCTTTTAACATGAAACCCACGCACACATTTTGGAACAAACTCAATTCCACATAGCAATGTCTTTGTTTGAGATTGGACACAAAAAACAATTTCTACTATTATTATTTTATATTTATTTTTTTACACAGCACCATTTACATAAATGCATGGATTCATAATTAATTACAAAAGAAAGAATATCAGCAATTGATGTGAACGTATCAGTTAACAATATTATCATCATGTAAAATAATAACAATAATAATAATAATAATAATAATAAATCAATAGAGGGACTATTTACTTCTGTATAATAATTACATCCCATGTGACACTGCATATGATTTTCAGAGAAGCGAATAATCTAAAAATCTATTTTTCCCCCTAAGCATTACTTTACAAAAACCAATAACATTCGACAAGTACTTGTTTATCTTATAATAATATAATAATTGCCATTAAGAGATTTTCAAATATATGTATAAATATGAATTCTCTCATTCAATCTGAGGGACACTGTGGTTCTTCATATTCAGTGATGCTCATATCAACAGACAATCTCTAAATAAAAACCAATGAGACACAAAACCAACAATGTCCAAACCAAAAAGCCACTGTTTAGAGATCTCATTCCAGTGTTGGTGGATTTTGGGTGGACGCTCGCCGTCCAGTTCACTCATCAGAATAAAATGCCAGGCTGTTGCTGCTGTGGCTGTGAATGGACTCATTGTTTCGTTCAATCTGGGAGACATTGTCCTGACAGGAAAACAAAATCTTCCTTCTTCCTCTTTTCTCCATTTGTTTTGAACCAATAATTATTTATTTGTCCATCCACATTTTTGCTAACACTAACAACATGTCTGCTGCTTTTAAATCTAAACAAAAAAGAGACGCAGTGACAGAGGATTTATTCTTGTTTGTATTTTTGAACATGGCAAAAAAAAAACATAATTATTTAAATAGCTCTCAATCATTTCCTCTGCTGCCCTGCAGGAGAGCCAGATAGGCCAATTAGCAGCTTCAAACAGGAAAGATGAAGACAGAGATAGTTTGATGGATGGAAAGGGGAGGTTGGTGAGAAAAAAACATATGAGAGCAGAGAGGCAGCATGGGTAAGGAAGCAGAAACTGACACTGAAAATAGGGATAGAGGGAAAAGAGAAACATGTAAATAGTGCCACCAATGGTGGAAGCTGACAGGATTTTAAACATTTGCGCTGCTTTAAGAAAATAAAAATTAAATACTGGATCATAAAGGGTTCACAGTGGTTCCCAAAAGTGGGAGCATGTGGTCTAGTTGAGCCACGGAGTTATGGCAGGGGGGACAGCGACTGTAGGAAAGGACAGTTAAAGATGCTTTGGATTTCAATATTTTCTTAATTTGTCCCATGGTGGAGATATTGATTCAATAAACAAACAGTAAGAAAATTAAAAAATGCTAATACTTATCCACAGCAGTCACTCTTTGAGCTTGGAGCTGAGCTGTAATCTTCAATATGACACGTACATGTCAGCAGCCCCGGCCACGTTTGTCAGACGTTCACTAAATCAAACCCAACCCACTCAGAGCTCCTCTGGTACTGTTTTTATAGCAGACATAAGGTTTAGATGAATACCATCAATAGAGACAGCATCGAGGGGAAAGCTGACAATTAGCTGTTAGGAGTGTCAAGTGTGACAGAAGGCAACGCTCAAATATTTTGTAAACCAGCCTCACCACAGTGAAGCGCACAGTGAGTAAATACGGCTTCATGATTACAGCCTCGCAGTGAATCATCAGCTGACACATGCAGCAGCTGAAGCCCTTGCTATCGTTGAGCAACATAAACAAAAACACATCCTGGCATGTTATCTCTTCTTTCTGTTTCCATTATTGTGTGCATCTTGGAAAAAAATACTTTGATACTTTACAAATATTGGTTCAGATTTGACAACAGGCTCTTGGACAGACATCATGGTGTTTTACATCAGCAGTCAGAAACTGCACATAAATGCATCATAAATGGAGTGACTGTGAAATAGAAACAACTACTGCAAGGAACATAATATAATACACTATATTATAATATAATATAATGTAATGTGATATACTATACTATAATATAATATAAAATAATAATTATTCTCATACAAAAGGCTACACACATGCGAACACAAACTAGTGGCTCACAGGACCAATTTGGTTCGTGACTAACTAAATGGATTAACCATTTTTATATCATTTTAATTGATTGTCCCGCCCCCAAGGTGTCTGTCCATTAAAATCCTGTCCCTCTGACCAATATATAAATGTATATAAAACATGTGGCAGAATACATCGCTTTGCAAAAACAAAAACGTAACCCTGACCCTAACTTCAGTTTGAAGCACCATTATATTATGTTATTGATTTTTCTCTGTGAAGTTGGCAAATTGTAAAAAGACTATCAAGGCTAAGCCCAGAAAAAATCAAATACTTTTAATACTATTTTATTTCAACTGTGCAAAAGAACATTTGTATGGTCTGGGTGCTTGTTGTCTGTGGCCACCTCGGTTGAACTTCTGTATCCTGTTTTTCCTTCATTGAAAACCTTTTTTTTTTCATCATCATATACCTGTCTCTGTGCTCTGTATGTACTGTAGTCATAGACGGGATGGAGGCTCCTGACCTAGATGATGCATCTTGGGAATGAGATTATTAAAGGCTAGTGGGGCTTAAGTAGTCTAGCCAAGATCAACTATGACCAGACACAACAACACACGTACACCGAATGCTATGTAAGACAACAGATGGATGTGTTAATAGACTCACAAACTCCAACCTTAACCGCCGCCCAGCTCCTCCTCTAACAGTTTAAACACATTTGGACTGAAGCACATTGAAGATAGATGCTTCAGGTAACTGCTTCCACACAGTGGGACCTGCGTACGGCACTACTTTTACTGAATGCCACACAAGAACCCTCTTGAGCTATAATTTATGGGTAGATCGTAAAGCACTTGGTGGAGTTTTAGGCTAATGCCTGTGAGGCTATTCTGCCAAGAGTAAGAGTCACTGAGATGAGGAATGGCACCTGGTAAATATGGCTGAGATCATGAAGGCACATTATTCTGCAGTGTGAATATATCTGAGTGTGTGTGTGTTTATCTCTGAGTGTGTGTGTCAATGATAAAATACAGACTCTCCAGTGTTATGAAGCATAAATAACCAAAAATATGTACTGCATATGTGCACACACAAATACTCTCACAAGCACACTAACCTGCCCTGGGACACGGACTGACTCGTCCCAGGGCAGAGATCCTGATTCACAGTCTGATTTCTTTCCAAACCATCTGTCACAATCTGAGCCTCCACAGGCATTTCCCCTTTTTGTACAACAACAACATCCTTAGCAGACACACACGCACACACACTGTCACCTAACCTACAGTCTTCTACAGCCCAGCGACCCGTGAGCTGCTGAGTGTTACTTGTTGATAATGTTTTTTTATAACAATAAATCTATTTTTAGTTCCCAAGACCACATTAGCATCCAGCATGGTGTGTTCACATTTGGTCACAAAACAGCACACATACTTTAGATTGTGATTTAGATGCATGACTAAGCATTGAGATGCAAAGCGTTCGCTCGGACGCAAATATGTAAATTCATTTCATACATAATTTAAAAAGCAACATGAAAAGGACACAAATTGTTCTTGATAAACAAGTTGCTGCTTACTGGGAAGAGGCAGCATATCTGATTTGATTAAAAAGTTGGACCATTTCAAAGCACAAAAAAATTAAAACATCAGATTCTCTCTCTCTCTCTCTCTCTGTGAATTATCCTTTTCCCATTGAAGCTTTGCACAATCTGGAAACACAAAAGCTGACCGAGGTGTTGCTTTGTTGTCTGCTGCTAAAGCCTCAATTATGCAGATGATTCAATTTGCCCAGAAACTGTTAATACCCACATTCTTCACTGTCTATTCCCTGTAGATTCTTTTCTATAGAGTAGTGAACAACTTCATCTAAAGAAGCTTTCAACATTTTCACACAATTTATTGCAAGTAATCTAACTATAAAGGTGGGATAATTTAGAGCCGGCAGCCTGTCAAAACTTTTTAGATTTAAATGTTTGGATTTTTCCAAAGTTTCATTCCAATACATAAGTGAACTTATTCCACCTCGACTCTTACCTGGAAGCACAACGATGGCTTCTTTTAACCAATCAAAGTGCTCGGGGTTAGCCATGATGAGTCAGTCCAGGTCAGAGTGAGCCTCTTTAGACAAACTTTGAAATTAAAATGAAAGAATCCATTATGCTGCACAGTTCTCTTCAACTCAGTGTCCTCTGCTCGAAACACAATTGCTGAACTATACACCAATAATGTCCCGGAGGAGCGACACTCCAGTGAACTCCTCCGATCGACAAACCAGGTCACATGCAGGACCTCCTGCCTCCTGCACCTCCTCGTCTGCTGCTATAACAAATCTGATCCTCCTGCTATGATGCTCCCTGACTACATGCTCTGATTACTCCCAATGTGAGAAGCACAGGGCAAGAAAAAGTGCCGACGCCAGCAGCCTGGGCCAAGGCACAGCCAGACAGCTTCAGCCCTGAGCCATTCCATTTCCATTCCATTGTTTGTATAGCATCGTCTGACCGGCCACGTTCCAAAGCGACCAAACCTTGACCCACACTGTCCCCGCACACTGGAGAGATGACTTCAACAGAGAGTGCAAGTGTCTTCTGTCGTAAAACAGCCCACAGGATGGTATTTGTGTTCAGCCCTTCCCTGTCACACACACAGACACACACCGGACACAAAACCGTCTCCCACCGATGTTAGCACAGCGTGTGTGGTTATCGC